CAGTGGACCGTGGCATTTAAGGGCGGTCATGCCCGCTGGATTCGACTTGAAAGCGTTGTGGACCATCTTGGAAGATCTATGGAAAAACATGATTTCATTAAGGAGGAATTTGCAAGCGTTATGGATTCAATTTTCTGAGAAAAGATATGGAACAGGTTTCACGATCACGTCGACCCCTTTGTTATTCATTGCTTTTGTGAATATGGCCGCGCACATCGTCTATTCAGCGCATCGTGGAAATATGGGCACTGCCCAAGCGATCCGCGTTGCATACTTTGGTGGATTATGACGGTCAGCAAGATGAAGCCAACCCGCACACATCAGCAAGTATGTTCAGTTCCTTTCAAACCTTGGAACATTGAGTCTGTTAACTCGCGCGAAATTCGGTAACTGTTCACCAGAAAATCCATTCTCTGGTCTATCGGGGCTCCTACCGAAACCTCGATTTCCTGAATTAACTGTCATCATGTTTCGTATGTGCTTGGATACTTCACTACTTGAATGCTCACTTTTCTGAAAAGGGCTCGTTATTGGTATTCCAGTTATGTATCGTAATTGTCAAGGAGCGCTGTTTATGAAGATGCTCCATGAGAAGCAGCAGCACCTGACAAAGGTACAGACATCTCTCCGGTTATGTACGGTTGGCTTTTGATGGCTTGTCATAGCTTTCATTTCCTTCGATCACAATCTCTCATTCCCATGGTATCATTCTCTGCATATGGAACTCGAACGAGGGACTCGTTTTCGGAAATGGCACGTTATCTTCTAACATTCCCTGAATATGAAAAGCAGCTTCTTATGAGCTACATGAATAGTTGGAATGTGCGCTTTCAACTTACCTCAGTTCACTTGGCCGCCTCACAAACACGTACATTCGAAGTCTAACGACCGCACAGGAAATTCAATCTTATCCTATTCCACTGAAGTTCAGGGTCCCTAGGGCATGATGCTGAAAATTCGGTACACAGGACATCCTGATTAGGTTATCTGACCGATGAATGAGCCAACGATTCAGTTGGCAATCGAGGGAGACGTTTATGTGGCAGCGTACCAACGAATTGTCAGAGTCGACGCACGCATCCCAGAAAGAGCGACATTCCAGGAAAGACCAACGCAACCGAGTTATTTGGATCTATTGCAGGCTAGGTGGCATTTCGGCGCCCACTGTGCCTAAAATCAATGCTGCTAAGAAACAGCCGGTGCTCCGCGCACACTTGTAATAGTTGCTGGCCGTTGTCCGTCCGTTCAGAGTTAACTTAGCTCAGCTTCTGAGGAGCTCAGACTGCGTACTTGTTTGTTCATAGCCCCACAGCATAACGGTATCTAGATTGATGACACAGTGAGGCAGTGTGTTCATTTCATGGTAGGTATCCTTTGCAACCTGAGAACTACAATCGGTGGGAGCATCAGCAGGAACCACAAACAAACAGCGTCTAGGACTAATACTTCGTGAACCAACCTTAGTTGATGTCGTCAGACGGACTGCACACAAGCGACTGTTCACCGAAATCCAATCAACCAGCGATGCCTCAGTCTCGGAGCTGAGAACAATGCCGTCCCCAACTTGACCAGTGATTTCCGCATCAATGTCCCTCGACGTGTGCAACCAATGGCGAGTGGACATGTCGGATGCAGTTAGCTCAACAACCCCGTTAGGGACATTGATTCTAGTTCCGGACACACAACACACGCCAATACTCATGGTGTCAAAATCGCTTGCGAGTGCAGCCTGTTGACTTATTTGTCTTAGAATGCGCATGTTGAATACCACCAACGGAACGGGACAATATGGCCTTCTAAGGGCCTGTTGCCGATAGGATTCCATGGGATTATGCGATAACCTAGTTGTATATAGTAGAACTCCAGTGCTGTTGCAGCTGTCGTCAACTAAACTTGGGCTTACAGAAAAAACGTTGATAGTCGGGGCCGAGTGGGGCTTAGGAGAAGCGAGTGGGCAGGTAAGCTGGATATCGAATGACTTCACTCCCAAACTTTATGGCAGTCACTTGTTCGCCCGGGCTGAAATGTCTGAGTTGTTGTTGATGTCACTGAGATTGGGGGTATTTGCGTGCAATCAACAAGAAGATGCTTTCAGAGTGCACATAATTCTTCGCATCATCGCTTAGACCGTACGTCGGTAACCGCTTGGGTACCGACGACTGTCTTCACTTGGTCCACCAGTACCCCTGGGTTAATAAGTCTTTAGTATGTTAACCATTTGTCGACTGGCTTGTGCTGCTGTTCCATCCTTAGAAATGTACAATTGGGCTTCGAGCTAAGCGTTCCTCACCTGCACTCTCCATAGGTAATGATGTCATATTCTTCACCCTTGATCCGATTTGGTATTAATTGACACCACTTCATCATAATAGTCCCATCACCTTTGCGATCGCTCTGTGATTGCCAAAACATTCTAGCACATCACTGCTGATGGGCCCAGGCGAAGTTTTAACACGATGTGGTAGACTGGCTTTTTGTCCATAGTAACCGTTTACTGTCTCCCATACTCATGAAGGGTTTATCAAGCTCGAAACTAATCAAGCGGTTTTTATCCATCAAACTCAGGTAGCTCACCCTCACGATCCAGCGGGGCTCGATAGAAGAAACTCAGTGAAACTCAACCTATTCCATCTCCCATCTGGAAGGTGCTGACTATCCAATTACTCTTTGTCATTCGCTTGGGCACCTGTACTTTGCGGTTGAACGGCCTGAGTCCCCTATCCTTCGTAATAGTTTACTTCAGGCGATTTCGTATATTATGCCCATTCATATATTAGACGTAGGGGAGTTGCTGCTAAGAGATCACTTCTCGATAATTCCCCTCAAGCATTTACAGTTATGAGAAAACTTGATGCAACGCGGTAAGCTATCTAAAGCTAGGTTAGGTCACAGTTTAACGGAAAGGTCAGTGGGCCAATCGGTAGATCAGACAATGCAATCAGGTGGTGAACGCCACAAACTTTCACACCCAAAACATTGAAAGGCAAACATGACAAGAAAGAAATGGTTGGTTTGGCGTCAAAGCTCACAGTTAGTCCTGGGCATAGGTAGGTAGGGGCGGCGTCAATCGTTCCGGTCAAGTTAACTTGAGGGCTTGTACAAGCGTCCTCTGTTTGCATACCTCCGGTTGCAGCATCGTGATAGCCATTGCTTCCGAACTAGCCTACAGACATTTCCTGAGTTCTTATGGGTTGCGTTTAGACACGGCGTAAAGAACTTTGCAAGCGTCATCGGTCCGAACATAATGTCCCGTACTAATCAGGCGTTCAAGGATGGAGCTATGGGCATTCTTACTTGTACCGTGTCGTAAAGAGGCGGGACAGTGTTCTGCTATCCTCTTAGACAAATGCCTGGTCGTGTGTCCGAGGTACCTGGCAACGCAGATGTATGTGAACTGATATACGACGAAAGATTCGGAACGAGCAGGGAGTCTGTCGTTCAGGCTTTTCGTGATAAACTGAACAGTCTCAACAAGAAGGTGGACTCTTGCAGCCGGATATGTTTGGTTCACAGCGACGGACAATCTTTTGTTCAGCAACTCGTAGGCGATATCCCCTTTGAAGGGAACCGAAATAAAGACGCTTTTTTCTTTACCGTTGGTATTTCTTTAGGTTGATCAGAAACAGCAGAATGGTTGCGGATAAATGTCTTGGGATAACAGTTGTTTTGTAGCTTTGTGGGAATGAAATTCTTCTCAGCGTCCAGTGTTTCTGGGCTGCATGTTTCTGCGGTGTGATAGTAAACGCAGCGCACAAGGTTACTCTTGTATTTCATGGGCACAAAACTAAGGAAATGCGTGTACTGGCCCACCTACGTGAACTTGCGGAATACTCCTCTCAAGCAATCCATCAGCTCGCCGCCGTAGTAACACATCCAAAAATGAGATTTCACCGTCGTTCTCTATTTCCAAAGTACATTTTAACGATGAATGCACACAGTTGAACTGGTCAAGTAGGTGAAGGTGATCAATCTGTGAGTTGCATACGATGAACGTGTCGTCCATGTATCGTCGATAGAAATCAAGAGACGCGATAAGGTTCCGCATATGGCCGCGCTCAATTTATGGGAGGAAAAAATCGGCAAGGAGTGGCCCTAAAGGGGACCAAATCGCAACGCTGTCTGTTTGTCAATAGTATTTTCCATCGAACAAGAATTGCTTGTTTAAGGTACAACGCTGAAGTAGTTCCTTTACTCGTTGGACCGGAATACGTATTCGCAAATGAAGCTAACAGTCTCCATCAAGGGAACATTCGCAAAGAGTGCTTCTACGTTGAAATAAAGCATCAACTTGTCCCTCACATTCAGGTCTTCTACTTGGTTAACAAAATCAAAAGTATCACTCACAGTGTAGACGGGTAGTTCTTTATGTAGTGGTTCGAGTAAGTCAACAAGCCACTTGGCAACTACGTGTACACCGGAGTCGGATGTGTGGATGATCAAACACATTGGTACCTTAAGCTTGCGCACTTTGGTAGCCCGGAGAGGTGTGGTGGGTGTGAGCCACATGGAGTTATATGCCTGAGCTTTCCGTTAAACTGTGGCCTAACCATTTACTGCTGCAGCTTTAGATAGCTTATCGTGTTGTGTCAAGTTTTCTCATAACCGTAAATGCCTGAGGAAAATTATCGAGCACAGATCTCTTCGCAGCAACTCCTCTTCTTCTGGCGATTTATTCGATCCTTCCCTACATCGGACATCGATGCCTCTAAACACTCTTACTTCTCGGTTCTTGGAAATGTACATAGACACTTCGCATCTGCGCTGTCCTTCTCCTCTTGACTAGAATGGCCACAAATCGCAATACTCCATCCAAAACAGAAGCACTACGAGTTTGCCTCCGACTCACTTGAGTACGCAAACGGTTCAACCCACCATATATGATCAAACGCAGTCCCTATGTCGTAGGCCTTCTCATCTACATATTGTAAACCACTGATGGACGACATTTGTTCTTACCCAATCGTTCGATGTTGCCCACTTTTTTATTCCCTTTACCTCAGTTCACCGTGTACGATTCTGAAGGAGCGACGAACCACAAGCCATATTACAACATTGCACCGGGACTTGCTGTGGAGATCAGCATCACGGTGGATCGCTTGAAAGTACTCTACCCAAAAACGCGCATCGCACCGGTTCTGTTCCTTTTTTCCAACCAATCGTTAAATGATGACGACGACTTTGTCATTAGGTCCACATGGTCGGATGGACCATCGGGGAAGCGTCAGGTAATGCATTGTCACTGAGTTTCACTTCACATGTTCTTCTAGTTCGCGCCGGGCTCGGTATTTCTCTTCATATATTTTCCGTCCATTAGGTTCACAGTGCGATTTCTCCGTTGCTTTAAGTAGCCACACTGATAACAGTTTTATTTCTCTTATTGGTAACGATCTGCTCAGGCTGGTCCAGCACAAGTGTTTCATCAAGGTAACTCAGATCCGAAGCGCGACCGGTGGTAGCCTGGAAAGTCAAAAGCCTTAACACCGCTGCGGATACGTTACCCTTGATCCTGCACATCTCAGTCAGTCCGTTGTGGCAATTAGCAATATCCCCTGAGATGGTTTCGTTGCGACGCATTCTTACCACTATCGGTTTTGGATAGCCTAAATGTTGTGTAACTGCTATGGTAGGGCTTTAACTATGCCAAGTCGTTTGCCCTCTGAGAGTGGACTGATGGCCTGTCAATGATTGGCAGCACCGTCTTGAGGTTGTCTGATGGGAGAGAATACCGCTGCCTTCCGCTAACCGTGCTTTTAGAAGTTAGATTTTGCGAGGCTCATTTGGTTCTCTCCTCCCACGCAATGTTTTCGTTGGGTTTGCGGCTTGTTGTCCCTGGTACATGATCCCACGTACAACCACACCTCAGCGCGTTCTCTAGCTTGATAGACCCGATGGCATACTACCCCCATGGAAAAAAAGCAGTGGGCTATTGGAAACGAGCAGATCTTATGCGTTTTTTTCTACACTTGATTTGCGCGGTAAACCGATTCGCACACGGTTTGTCTGTCTGTAGCTACACAATTTTTGTTTCTCCGTTCACACACACTTTGTAAAACTTGTAATTTTGATGGGAGGGTCATTTAGAGGCACTTATTTTATGAATGGATTGCGTTGCGATTCACATTGAAGTAAACCACGGCCAAATCGATCACTGGGACCGTAACTGATGAAGTAGATAAATATTAGGTGTTGTACAGCTGCCTTAATCGATGTCTTAACGCCCTTATTGTTGTAGAATGTCACCAGTGCTTTAATCGGTTTCAACTTCTCATTTAATGCACATTTGCCATGGAGGTTGTGTCGCGGTTTGAGGATACAATGCAAGCAACGCGAATTGCTAACAACTAAATTTAACTTTCCTCCCAAGTTTCACATCGCTTACAGGACATACTCCAGTAGCATATATCGCTCGTGTGTGTTCGTTTCGGACGCACCAGTTAGAACGCTCTCCTATGTGAATACTACTGTGGAAAAGTCACAGTTCGAGTTTAAATGTTGTACTCAAGCAAATACTGGATTGCAAATAACCCGAGGCATAATGTCTTTTATCGAGCACGTAGGCCACAATTTAAATGACATTGACTCGGATTTTGTGCGGCTGGAACAGTGCTGTTAGAAGTTGGTCATTCAATGTCCCCAGCCCTCTATTGGCAGTTATTGTTAGCACAACTCTCTCAGCTCTTGTTTCCATTGCCTATCCTCGCCGCTCAACTAGGCAGTATCTCGGGACGAAACCGGGCAGTTTGTACTGTACACTTGTTCCACTCATCCTTATCTTCTTCCCGCCTTGTGTTGGACGGTTTGCCTCGAACCTTTTTAACACTACTCGCCTTTCTTGGTGCTACATCACTTGTGCGTCGATGCCGGTTTTAAACCACCCGCCCCTGTTCTCAGCCTTCTGTCTGGACAACAATTTCTGCATATGGTGTTTCACATATTCTCATCTTATCCACCCACAACAAGACGATCGCACGTCACTACAGTACAGTCAAAGAACTCTCTCAGTTGGGATTAGCACTGCTTGTTTCATCTTATTGGACCACATCTTCATTGGCTCTGCTACGGTTGGCTCACCGGCCACAAGGTTTTGGCGCTCTACGTGGGGCACTCCTATTTACCTTGGAGATGCCTAGTTTGCCACGCGTTTGGTCAAACAAGGCGACTGAAGAACTGTAGCTGCTCAATAACTAGTGGGCCATTCGCACTTAATTCAGTTGAATCAATTTCAAACATAGCATGGGAAATAAAATTAGCGTACATTCAAGGAGAAGCGCAACACCTACACGATAGTATGGTGATCTATCCCTGACCTTCATGGGATCATTGTACTATTGATCAGTTGCTGTGAGCTTCACCAAGTTGGACAAATTCATTGCAATCGTTTCGCCTGGAGTATAAGTGGCATCCCGAGTGCAGAAGCGATACCATTTTCTTAACGATGGTGGTAGACCTTGTCGGTGAATTCACTGAGTGCGTACTCATTCCCGCATAAACGCAGTAACTGGCTCCACCTCAGTACTCCGAGGCGAACCACTAATATGTGGGTTTTTAGGCGCACTGCAGGATAAGTTGTTTGCGCCAGCACATCAAATCACATCGTATCTGCAACTCCGGCGCAATATCTGCATCAGTTATTCCCAGGCCTAATGTTTGCAGCACAAACTACCGTCCCTTGGTGTACAATCCGGTGCCTAGTAGGATGGCCATATGAATAAGTACATCACAATGTTTGTCCTTACAGCTTCTAAACGCTGTGTCGTACATAGCTGCTGTTGATGGTAGTCTTGACTATCTGAGCCAACCTTGTCCCATGCAATGCTCGTTATTTGCATGGTAGTGAAGGATGAGTTACACTGTATGCCTTCGCTTTTAATTCATGACGGTCCACCACCGTGATCCCACGGTTCAATATCTTTAGCTGCTGACTGACGGTGCATGGTGCCAATAGTAATGTGTTCGGATCCTAATGGAGTCCTGAAACGGCCATTTAGTGCCGTTTTGGATATGTTGAAGACTATCTGACTTGGTGACTTCTGCGATTAACCCTCATTTACGTACACCGTGAGCCCTGTACTTATGATCGTTTCAATGAGGTATTTGTTATTTCGCGGCCTGTCGACATTAAGACAAAATCATTACTCAGGACTGCACGAACTGATCGATTTTATTCGTTTTTTGTCCACCTGTCCTTAATTTAATGTTACCTGTATATCTCTTGTACTTTTCCACACGTTCGCTGAACCATTTCTCAGTCCTCATACCTTGTGTTGAACGAACGTACAAGGGCAGGTGTCGTTGGCACCGATCACCCGCCCGCATACATTCACTTCTCCCCGGTAAGTCGCGTCTGCCCAATCCCGGACGATGAGAAATCCTGCCTCCGATCGGCGAGCATCGGACCCCGACAGGCCATAGTGCACAAGGGCAGTGCACATAAATATTCGCGCAGCCTTGTGTATGCATATTACGGAGATCGTTTCGATCAGGTTCACGAGACTTCGCACAAAGGCCGCGTGGGTGCCAGAGAACAATACATCAACTTGGGCGATCCAGGTGACGGAGCGTACGCGGCGACAAATTACTCTTCTTGGTAAGTACTCGCTACAGAAATTGGTATCTTATGTTCGTACGCCTACATCTACTCCCGACAGCCGGACTGTGTTTTGTGGGCGTGTTTGACGGCACCGAGCACAAAGCCTTTTACCACTTAGGCGTAGATTGTTGTACGCGCTTATCGTCACTATGGTGTTTCTATTTTCGCCAAAGCGGTCTCCATCTGGCTCAGACGACCGGACACCATTACTTTAACTATTTGACACTTCTATACTCTAGTCTCAGTGGCGTCTTCATATCACGCTTACGAACTATGATGTCGGATGCTTTCTGTTCGCATGACTTCTTATTCCCTGTTGATATCCTATTGTCTCTTAGAGCGTTAGTTATGCAACCTACACATCATGTAAGCTCAACTTCCCTGAGGACATATCAGATGATTGAAGTGTGAACACAAGGTCGCGAATGTGCGGCGACTGGTTCCACATTATCCGAGTGGGTGACGGGGCATGTTGAGTTCGACTCATCTCGAAGACAGTTTCGAGTAGAACGGCATCAAAGGACGTTGCGGCGCGATCACAGTGAAGTAAGTTCCAGTTGACGCTAGAGGTATTGAAGTGTCTCCTTATTAAGCAGCTCTTGCTTCCGCCGTGCGTTCTTATCGATTTCAGGAATCGGGATCCGGAACCCTTTAGGGGTCTGCAGACAACACCAACCATGATGAAATTGTGTCCGTCTTGGACGCGTCAGCAAATCATCTCCAAACCCTCAATAGTGTCACAAATGGCATCTACGGTATGAACCCTTAACCCAGACTTCCAGTAGAATGTGACCCCACGTCCACTCCCGATGCCAAAAAAATCAGCCCGAGAAAATAGATAACCAGGAAGACCTATCTCAGAATCAAAAATAACGTCTCAGTAAAAGCCATCAGGTCGGGGTGATCCTGTAGAATTTATTTCACAGGCTTTGTATATTGATGGACATTACACACAATCCAATCGTAGACCGTTGAGCCCGAGCGCAACAAAAGCTTGCGCTTTCGAGCTTTCGAATTCCTTTTAACCACACGAAAATCCACAATTTGAAGAGTAGTTTCGCCATTGGCCCGGCTGGTCCGCAGTTCACCAACGGCGTTTTTCATCTATTTGGTCTTCTGGATAGAGATCACTTAAGGCATGGAATGTTTTTCCCTTCAGAAGCGATGTCCGATTGAAGATACGATCATCTTCCTTTTCATTTCTACAAACGATTTTCGGCGGAAGTGTCTTGGAAGTGTCACCCTGCTTCCTGCCAAAGCGAAAGACAGAGACTTCATTGATCCCCTGTCCCTACGCTTTAGGAAAACATGGTCTTCCACTATCCTCTCGATCGGCGCTTCATTGTCAGATTCTGGAACGTTAACGATTAACAGACGATGTTCACGAGGAAGAAATCTGCTTCTCTCGGAAGCAAATTGTTTGTGGTTTAGAGTGTGCCTTGGCTATGTCCTCTAGTTAACTCATCTTGTCAAGCACGAGCTTTAGTTGGGAGTGCAAAGACTTGAACTGTGTCTTAAGTTTCAAATTCTTCTTTGTTCGGGCCTTGCGCTTGGATGCACTCAATCTAGCTGTTAGAATTGCGCTTTGACTCACTGCGGCGGCATGTTTTTGTCTCACATTTGCTACACTGCTCACCAGTCACCAATAGTTCCGGAGGTGAAACAGAGCGATTCGACTCCCTTTTCCTTTAGTATTTGGGCAAGACGTGGGTAGAATTAAGAGACCTGAATTTTTTCGATTATACAGGCCACAACCTGGGCAGGAACGCAAGATGGACTGAGCGGTGGTAGACTGGCCGCGAGGCGCTTATCTATCAATACGGCTCGACAGGAGTTACAAAAGCAGTTGATAACCTGGAAGGTGGGCCGCTAAAGGTCTTTGTACCTAAATACATCGTAATTACAGCAGTCAATATGCAGCTATCCATAGCACAAAATGGATTGCACGGCTTTCGAGCAGAAATTGACCCCTGCCCCGCAATCCAAGCATGTGGAGATCATAGTGCTTTATGTCTGTTAACGGAAGAGGCACCTCTTTGCGGAAGCCCGGCACAGTTGACCATGACGCAGGCCGAAGCCTATTATCCAACCAATGAGAGCGGGCTAATGCTGACACTTCATCTTGAACGCTTCCAATGAGGATGGTCCACCTTGAAGCCCGCCAGTGAGCGCTACGCCATTTCTTTATTAATCGTTGACTCAATTCTCTTATTTGATTTGTTTATACTGCTTGCCGGGTGCAGAATACAGTTTTCACCTGAGGCCTTTGTCTTCTAATCTGGCAGGTCGGTCGGTCAACTTAAGCGGTAGCAGCAGGTTATTCGTACAATCAGCGGGAAACACAACAGATTTTGGCGACAGAGGTGAACTAAATCAGGATTTCAATCTCATCAGAAGACGTGAAACCTATGTTGTTACACCAATAGCAGCAATTCGAAGCCGCACAGCTTCGAATGATTGATGTTCTCACTCCGAACCTTATCTCTTCACTCTACACCCATCCAGAACACTGGGAAGCCTTCAACGGACGTAGTGATTAGCAGTGTTAGTGAGTTTATTTTTGATCCTGATTCTGGACTACTATTCGATGTTTGGATCAGGCGCTATGAAGCGGTTTTCAGGACAGAGTTGTCAAGTCTCGATGATGGATCAAAAGTTCATCTGCTGTTACGAAAATGGGTAGAGCATGCTAGAAATTTCAACTACATTTTACCCAAGAGCGCCCATGCTTTCAGTTTTGATGACTTTTGCTCAGCTCACAGAAATGTTTGGAGACCAGTCGTCACTTTTCAATAATCGCTACAATTTTTGAAGCTTTTTAAGTTTTATTGCTCGTGCAGCGACAGTAAAGCGTAAATGTCAGCATTTTAAACATAAGTCACTTATTGAAGCTCGACTGCTTGATATTAGTGTGCAGTTTTCAGTCCCCCAATGATGCCGAACTCCGGACCAGAATACTTGTTATGTTGGAACGTGACCCGGATGTCACATTACAGAACCTCATTGCTGAAGCACGGAGAATCATGAATTTAAAGCACGACACGGCTATGGTGGAGGATTCAAAAGTGCATACTGCTGATATTAGTGTCCATCAGGTTACCAGAGGCAACATTTTAGCACATGAGTACGGGATACGTCCACAAGCTAAACTTCCATCTGCTTGCTGACAATGCGGAGATTGGCATTTTGTGAGATGGTGCCCATTCAGCAAACATGTCTGCCAGTAGTGCCATAGACGTGGACATAAGGAGAACCACAACAAGTCCAAACTCACACTCACACACTATACACGATAGCTAGAGGTGGGAAACACCTCAGCTACTGTGCCGCAATACATAGAGGAAAAACAGGAGAAAAATATGTAACAGATGCAAGTCAGTTGAGCTACCGGGAACGGATGTACATTGTTCCGGTAAGCTCCCAGCCGGCTAATATGCAGCAAAAAAATTACTATGCAAAATTATGTAAGGCTAAAAATAGTGAGATCGTGGTCGGAGGGGGAGGTTAAGAGGGATGGGGTGGGATAAAGAAACTCACAGCACGAACGCCATTGACGTCGGCCCCTAGCCAAATCAGCAAGTGTATCCAACCAAACGTGTTCATCGTATTTCGGACCCCAACGAGGGAGCAGAGACCAGCTTCGAAGTGAGGGCCTTCATTCTTCTCGACCAAGTCATCGCTTGGCCACCCCTTCTCTTCTTCCATCCACACCCCTGGCACGCAAACAACGCACGTCGCGGAAGTCGGTGGGCTGGCATGCGTAACACGTGGCCGAGCCATCGCAGCCTGGTGTGTGAAATAACGGTGCCGAGCGGTTCATTTCCTTTTCCTGCGCCGTAAACAAGGCATCGAACACACTCGTTGCCTACTCGGTGTTCCCACTAACTGTGAGCTAAATTGTGATGGCACCGGTGGTCGAACGTAACTAGCCTCTTCAGGTCCGCTGCTTTAAGCGGCCAGGTTTCACAACCGTACAGTAGAGCCGAACGTACCGCTGCACTGTACACTCTACTCTTCAGCGCGAGAGTGACGCCACGCAGGCGCCATAAGTGGCGAAAGTTAGAAAAAGCGCCTCGATCTTTTGCTATACGATTCGTGATCTCATTTTCACTCCCACGGGCGCTGATACAACTTCCCGGGTAGTTGAATTTTTGAACGTCTTCTAGATGATCCCCACAATGTCTCAGCGTAGGAGGCGGTCCAGACCAATCTTGGAGGAACGCTTTGCAGTTCGAGGGTGCGAAGCAAAGACCGCAGTGACGGACAGCTAGTGCTAGTCTGTCCAGTGCCGCTGGGCACGTTTGTGAGCTGTCACAGATTAGGACAATATCATCAGCATATTCTAAGTCAAGAAGTCGTTCTCCTGGGAGCAGATCCACACCTTCTAAGTCGTGTCCTGTGAATGTGATTTCCAAGACTTCGTCAATAGCGAAGTTGAAGAGGAAAGGGCACAGCGGGCCACCTTGTCTCACACCGCTGGAGATATTAAAGGGTGACGACAACTTGCCGTAAGCCCTCACTCTGCCCGAGCTACGCCCATATAATGCTCGTATAATATTTGCGTATTTCTCAGGTACACCTTTCTTGAGTAGATAGTCCCAAGTGCACGTCTATTCACCGAATCGAATGCACCTTTGATGTCGAGGGACACGACAACGGTGGGCCGCCAATATATGTGACGTTGTTCCAACAACTGACGCAAAGTAAAGATCCGGTCAATGCAGCCGCAATCTTGACGAAACCCGGCTTGCTCTTCACGAATCTGGCTTTTTCGAGTGCCAGTCAGTCTGTGAATGATGACAGAGGCAAGCAATTCGGAGGCGATGGAGGTTGGGCTGATTCCTCTATGGTTGCCGCCTTCCGATTGTGAACCTCACTTAAATATTGGGACTATGCCGGAGCGGCTCCAGTCGGTTGGGACAGTTTCTTGCTCCCACATTTTGATTAGTAACTCGTGTAAATCATCCACAAGAGCAGATCCTCCGAATTTGTAGAGG